ATGGCGCTAGGCTTACCGCACCGTGACGTCACTGCTGGAAGATGGCAGGAGGGAGGGGCTACTATATTTGGGCAAAGATGGCCGCTCCCAGACTCAGTGATCGCCATGAAATTATTTTTATTTTCGCAAACGTATTAATTTTAGGTATAAATAATGATTCATTGATTATTTTGTTCTGATCGGACTTTTCCTTTAAAACTGGAGGAAACTTTGTTCGTAACGAGGATAAAAACAAGTTATTTTGAAGGGATTTTAGTTTCCTGGTGTTTTTCTTTTAACGTCTCTGAATCCAGAACCTTTCTCCTGGTTTCCAGTCTGTTACTGGTTTTCTGCCAGCTCAGCAGGAAGTCCATGATGGTCCCAAATGGGGTTCAAAGTTGTGTTGTTTTTCTGCCCTCACGTGTGTTCCTGAGCCACGCCCAGCGGGTGAAGGCGCCCTGGCCCCAGCAGCGTCCGGCCCAGCCAGTGTAAAACCCGTGAGTACCAGTGCATCCCGTCGCTGTGGCCCCCAGTGCTTCCAGTCCAGCTGTGGATCAGCCTGAGGGGGGCGAAGGCCCGGTGGGCCAGCCAGTGTTGGTCCACTACAGCGTAACAGGACGCCATCACCCCGTCCACCACGATGGTCCCATGCCGGGTCAGAGGGGCGAACGCCCCCCTGCTCACCCTCACGCTGACCCCACTGATCCGGGACAGACGCCCCGGTCCCCCGTCCGACACCAGGACACACTGTCCCGGCTGGACGGCGCTGGCGTACTCCGTCCTCAGGACGCCGGGGGCCGGAGCCGTCCCCTCTGAGCAGTTCTCGGACACGAAGATGAGGTGGGCGGCGGTGAGGGAGATCTGGGCCCCGGCTTCCGTCTGCAGGGCGATGAAGAGTCTGAGGGGGGTCGGGTCCCGGTCCAAGAAGGTCAGGACTTCACTGAAGATCAAATCCCCGTCGCTGCCTGCGGCGGCCAGGAGCCGCTCGCCGGGACGCACGTCGCCGATGGACTTCAGAGCACCGCTCTCCAACATCACCGAGGCGTTGCCGGGGAAACAGCCGCCGGACTTGGCCGCCACCGAGTGGTCTGAGGATGGAGAGAGACGGAGACGGAGTGAAAAGGAGGAAATATGGCGTCCTACCAACGGAAATTAGAAAATGTTAAAGATTAAACTTTTATCAGTGGCGCTCGTTGATTTTGAAACGTTTTATAATAAAAATTTGAACCATTGAACCTTTAAGTTTATTAATTATCTCTGAGCTACCTTTAAAAAAATGGTTTTGGGAAATTAAACCACTAAAATCCAGAGGTCTCTTATTTTATATACACCTTTTATCAGTTTATAGATGTATATAATTCAGATTTTCACTACCAGAAGTATTTCTCAGTTGAGATTACGGAGCTAACTGAACGTTTGGTAGAATCGATCCATATATTTCTGCATTTTCTCTACCATCGGTTTCAGTCCAACTGAGGAGGAAGAAACGCCATCAGTGTTTCCATCAGCAGACTGCAGCTAGAGAAGTTTTCTGCAACTTTTTCATCCCTGCATGATGACCCAAGAGTGAGAGAAACTGCTGGTACCTCCATAAAATGTGTATTTTAAATGAGTTTCTTTTGTAATTCATTTCATCAAATGGATTCGTTACACATAAACCTTTATTCCTGAAGGAGGCGCTCCCATTTCCCTGCTGCTCCTGGTCCTCCCTGCCTGTCCCTGCTTTGCTGTGTCTTTTCTGAGTTCTCTCTTCATCTCAGCTGAACTCAAACATTGGATCTGGTCAGCTGGTCTCTTTTCTCAACTGGAAACAGGGAGACCCTTCCTGTCCTAATGGGACATACTTGGTGGGATAAACCATGGAGTCCTAGAAGGCTTGGAGGATGGTGTGTTTTACAGTGTTCTCAGTAGAAGACGATGGATTTTTGGATTTATGATACTCTGATTTCTCTTGTCTGGATTTGGAGGATATACCTGATGCATCTACAATTACAGAGGATGTCGGCGGCGATCTGAGCGATGATCAGGCTGCTGGCAGCGGCTGACTCTCTCAAAGCGCCTCAGTAAATCCTTCCCTCTTAATCACACATTTAAAAAGATGATTCCTTATTCCATTTTCTTTTTAAACGTCTGTTTTTAAAATCCTTATTGCTTTTCTTTTTGCTTTCCCCTCTCCGATGACCTATTCCCTCACCCTTCTGTTCTCTGAGCGAACTGGAAACCAGTTTAACCAATCACATTCTCTCCTCAGATGTAAACAGCTCTCTCATTGGTCGTTTTGTTGAAGGTGTGGCAGTCTAGCCAATGAGGGGGTTGGACTGGTTTCCAGTTTGCTCTGGGACCAGAAGGGTCACGGAAAAAAGGAATAAGATTTTAGATGTGTAAATAAGGAAGGTATTTATAATACAATTAAATTTTTGTTTTTTTGCAGACACCATAAAATTTAAGCGTAGAACAAAAAGAAAAAAAGAAAAAGCTTGAAATCTTTGCCTCTGTTCAATTAATCTACAGTTTTCCTTCTGAATTGAGTGACAAATAAATCGCGTTTTACAATTTTTTTAAATATTTTTATTGATCTATTTGAGATTGAGCAATAAAATGTGGGCTTGTCATCTTTAATTCTTCAAAGCTTCATGGGGTCTCTCAGCAACCAGCAAAACCAAGCCTATAGGTACAATTTGGAGGTGTGTGCTTTCATTTCATGGACCTGGAAATGGCATAGTGCCCATTACCCTGAAGGCATTTTTTTTTTTTTATCTGTAACATTTTTATTTTTTTGCTGCAAACAGTATAGAGGCAGCCTGAGCACAGTTAGCGATGACATGAGGCTAATGGGGCCAGTCCTGCTTCTCTAATACAGTGAATGTGATGCCTTCTCCTCTTCAGTGTTTCAATGCAGTGGTCTGCATTTTTATTTAAACAGAATTTAAAACAAAAAGCATCTATAGAGACGTCAAACATCCATTGGTTCAAATAAATATTTATTGGTAGGCATTTAAGAGGCTGTAAATCCTAAGGATCAGGACTATACCTTCAGGTTTAAAATAAACCGCAGCTTTAATTAAATTAATTTATTGAATTAAAGATTAAAACATCAATTTAAGCATTTATCTTAATTATTTAAATGAAAACAAAATGTATTGTAGTTACTACAGTCTAATATGTTATTTTCTTTGTTTAGATATGTGCTTCATTTCGATTTAAATCAGTATAGTTGCTTTGTCGCCCTCTGGTGGTCATTTTAGTTCTATACCTATAGTAGAAGAGTTTATTTTGTTGCTTTAAAAAGAACTGAATTGGTTTAGTTTTTAAAAGAGAAAAAAAAGAAGAAAAAATCAGAAAAGAAAAATGAAAAATACCAACTTGATTGGTTTCCCTTCTGATCAAGTCAAGGACTGGGCCCTCGCCACCCGATCTGGGGGGGGAAAGAAGACAGGAAGAGGAAGGGGGAAAGAGACAGGCAGCAGGAGAGGGGAGAAAGAAACGGGAAATCTCAGTTACTAACCAGTGGACATTAAAATCTCACGGGTCAATATATTGTTTTTTTAACGGGACTTTTGATTTGTTTCAATTTAACAGAAGAATTTTTTTTTTATCTTGGGATCTTTTATTTTCTTATGGAGGCTGAAGATTCTCATCATGCAGCCATGCGGCACAATGATGATGGAGGAACCAAAATCCTTAAGATAGACCAACCAGGAGCTCGTTCTAATGGGTTCTAATAGACTGCTCTTAATGAAAACACCATCTTTCCTTAAAATTAAATTAAATTACAGAGGGAACATTAATCCCTCTGTGGACCAAACTGCTTTATGAAAGCCTAAGCTTGGTCCTAAATGTTCCAATCAGCAGAACAATGATCCCAAAAATAGCAGCTGATCTACAGGAGAAGGAAGGTGAAGTGATGGGCCAGTCGCAGTACCTCCGACTTCCAATGAGTTTATTCCTTGTATAGACAGAGGGTGTGCTTTCGCATTGATTATTAAATACTTTTTTAAACTCAGACGGTCAATAATTTGTTTTTTTCTACAAGCATTGCTGGAGTTGGTGGATAAACTTTGAGCCGACGGTTTAGATGTAGAGATTTGTCCGTTTAGATGCAGGCAGGAAGAATAAAACTGAGTTTTTAGCGAGGAAAAGGGGAACTGAGCAATGAATCTCTGATCTGTACTAACGGATCTTTTCCAGGTGACCATCATGGTCCAAAATGTGGTAAAGAAAAGCCATCTTTAATAAACGCAAATATTTTTGTCACAGTCTTGATTCTGTTAAGTTTTATTTAATTTGTTTTCTAGTTCTATTGATTTAATTCCTATTTTGTGGCGTTTTCTGGATGTTTTTGAGTTCTTAGGTTTTTCTTGGTTGCTCTCTGCTGCCCTCTTGTGTTGGTCTCCTTTTCCCTCGCTCCCTTCTAGGAGCCTCTGTTCACACCTGCTCCCAATCAGCTCTTTAGTCCAGTCTTTGTTCAGTCTCCCATTTATACTCTCCCTGAGCAGTTCCTCAGTGCTGGTTGCTCGTCTTTTCCTGACTCTTCAGGCATGTTTTTCACTGATGTCTCCAAGGTTCTGTTTTTTTGTACTTATTTTGTTGGATTTTTGGATTCCTGTGAATATTCCATTAAAACTAAACGAACTCCCCTCTGCCTCCTCGCCTCTGCATTCGGTCCTCAAAACCTCAACCGAACCCTGACAATTGTTCCATTGGTCGAGGAATGTCTGGATCTGCTAAAGTGTTGATTTGCTGGACACCTGCAGCCTGTTCACCAGGATAAACTTATACAAGTTTTTAATGCCTAAAAGTAAAGAGCGTTGCTCCAAAGAACTGGTCAGACATCTTGTTCACTTGGTGCATCGGTGGAAGTTTGTTTTTACTTTTGGTAGAAAAGTTTCCATCAGAGTAGAAATATCAAACTATTTCTTTTCCTAATTCTTTTTTCTTGAATGGTAAATTAGCGCCACATTGGCCTGATTTTCCAACCAAGAGCCAGACGGGGACTTATAAGCATGGGCGGTTCTAGAAGGTGGGCCAACGGGGGCCAGTGCCCTTGCAGATCAGGTCCTGGCCCCTGTTATGGCCCCTGTTTTACTAAATATTTAAAAACAATAAGCTGATAGCTTCAGTGCTACTGAGAGAGGATCCCAGTTTTGATTTGCTAAATGTTTTTTTTGAAAATGAATTAAAAAAAAAAATTTGAATTTCACAGCTGAATGTAACTTTTTTTCTCGTGTTCTAATTCTGGTTTGATAGAAAACTGTAATCTTAATTTAAATTAAGTTAAAAATATGTAAAATTCCTAAATTACTAATTTATAATATTCCAAATAATAGCTTTATTTGATATTTGAGATATTTATATAGCTACAATTTTACTTGATATTTTTATTTTAACAATAATTTTCAAGCTAAAAATAAATATTTTCAGTTGGAAGACATAATTTTAATTAAGCTTAATTGAGTGGAAATTTCACATCATGCAGCTATCTTAATATATTTTAATCCTTTGCCCTGTTTTCTTTTTTGTTTCATGTTTTTCTGTTCCCCCATTAAAACTCTCTGGCCCCCTCCCGGCCCCCTGGTACATTTGGTCTGGAGCCACCACTGCCTATAAGGTCTACTTTGTCTGCCTAACATAGAGCTAAGACCATGACCAACGACAATCGGTTTAAAATGCCTCAAATTAAGACAAACGCATAAAAACGACACGAACATGATGAACAAAGGAATATAGTAGCTACAATAAAACAGCAACTCTGAGTCGTCCCCCACCTGACTTGACGCTGCAGTGGATGTGGGCCCTGGACTCGTAGTGGACCCAGTCGAACCCCGCCTCCACCGCCAGCCGCGCTAGCATGGCGTACTTCTCCCTGTCCCGGTCCGAGGTGGTAATGTCCACCGCCCGGCCCTCGTAGTGCAGGGAGTTGGTGGAGTGGTGGCCATCTTCGTCCCAGCCCTCTGTGACCCGCAGGCGGACCCCGGGCCAGTGGTTCATCACCGAGATAGCCAGGGAGTTCAGCTTGTCTTTGCAGCGCTGCACAGTAAAAACAGGACAGGTCTAGGTTAGACCAACATTCTTTCCTGGGAACTAGAACAATACACCGAAACATGATGGGAGTCCGATTGTATGATCCACAGGGCTATTATGGATCTGGCCAGTATACTGGTTATTCTGAGATGAATACCAGGTTCACCTCACTGATCCATCCAGTATCTGTATCAATAAACGAAAACCAAGTCCACTTGGTGTCTGCTTTTAAGGCTAGGGTTAAAACTTTCCTGTTTGATAAAGCTTCTAGTTAGAGTGGCTCAGGTTATCTTCTATAGTTCTGCTGCTATAGGCTTAGACTGCTGGAGGACATAGGGACCCCTTTTTCCTCATTCTATCTCTATTCTCCCACTCTGCAGAATCTGTTAGTTCAATCTCTAANTGGACGGGGCCGCCTGTGGAGCTGGTTGACAGTTGCCTTTTGTATCTATGCTTCTTTTTCTATGTCTGCTTCTGTCTCCTTGAACCCCAGTTGGCCTCAACTAAATTCAACTCAACCTATATTTATAAAGCACATTTAATTACAGTTGCAGGAAATAAGATGATAATAAAAACATAAAAGCTGAAATACATAAACACAACGTAATGAAATATAATGAAAATATTACGTTAATTTAACATTAGCTAGCCAAAAGCCCTCGCTCGTTCAACCGGGCTACATCCAGAGCTTGAAGGTTCATTGTGGAGTTTTATTCGAGTTAAACACTGGATACCTGGTCGTCATGGCAGCGGGAGCCTCCAGTGTTATAAAGAGCATTAGGGCTGTTGTGGTGAGCGTGTTAGCGAGGGATGCTAACTGCTACCACTTGCCAAGGTTAGTTAACGTCAATTTACACCACCTGGATTTACACCATTTAAGGCTTTATTAATAATTAGTAAATACATTTAAAGTAATCTGTTGTCCAGATGTTTGTTTTAATGGAGTTTATAAGATGAGAAATGGAAATTAATTTTGAAGTAAAGTCAAATGAAATGTGAAAACTATAATTGGGTTATATTTAGATTAACTGGTGTCAATACAAACGTTAATTTAGTTAAAAGTAAGTACATTAGTTTGGTTCCATTTCAATATATTAGTTTGGTTCATCGACTGAAATGTTCAGAAAATCGTTTGGAACACGGCAAAGATTTAAAGTTGGGTCAAGAGCAGCATTATTGTTTACATCAAAATAAAATAATCAGGTCATAAAAAGTGATTAAATTCAGATTCAGTGAAGTTAAACATTTTAGATGTGATATCTGGACATCATTTATTTTTTATTAGAGCAAGGTTATAGTTTTTCCAGCCGCTCACACTGAGCCTGGTTCTGCTGGAGGTTTCTTCCTGTTCAAAGGGAGTTTTTCCTCTCCACTGTCACTAGAAGCTTGTGAGGGATTGCCTTCCTTTGACGGAAAACTTTGAACCAATTTGGATGATCTGGTGAACTGGCAATATAGAAATGAACTGAATTGGAGGCATCTGACTTTTGATGCTCAGGGAATAAGCTTTGGTTCCATTTGCATCTTCAAGCCATGACCTTCACCTTGAATTTGAGGCGATTACAGCCAAGCAGCATGCAGCCAGGATGGGTTAGTTGGTCCAGAGGTTGCATTATGTTTGTCTTTGATATAAAGCAACACAAGCAATATGGGTTGAACACCTTATGCAGATGATGATCTGCTTTACGGTAACATTGGATTTTCTTTAAAAAAAAAAAAAACAACCAAGATCGACAGTCTTTATTTTCTAAAAAGCGACCAAATAAGTAGATATTTTCTTGATCATATTAATGAAAAAACAGTTATTTTCATATTCTCTTAAATACTTTTAACATTATTATTAAGTAGCTGAAATACCTTAATGTCCCTTTAAAGCAGTCTTCTTCTGTTCGTATAAATCCTCACATTTCCTAGTTTCAGGTACTGATCGCCTCGTCTTCTGTTGCACAACTTGAGAACCATTCAGAAAAAAAAAACTCAAGAGCTTCACAAAGACCCATTCAACCTGCAGCGATAGACACCCCACTACCCCCACCTAACCGGTGGCTCCAGCCATCCCACAATGCACCCCTGCAGTCCCAGGTCAGCGTGGTGTTTACTCTCTGTGGTGAGGGGAGCAGGGAAGCTGTTAAGGTTTGGGGTGGGGGGGATAAGGCTGGACTATGAGGTTGGGTTGGTCCTGATGTTCTGGAACAAACAGACGGCCTGTTGAGGAACTCATTCAACTCTTTACCTCTTGGTCAAGAAATGTACCTTTACAACCTCATGTGACCTCTTGGCGGCGTCTGATCGGACTTCCATAACAAGGAAAACTGGAATTCACAGAATAGCACCAGTTGGTTAAAACTGACCACTCGATTTTCCACTTCATGCGCATTTTAAGATCTGATTGCCCAATAAAATAAGGCATCAGGCCATAAATAAACAGCCCTAATGAAGGACTGATTCCCATGAAACAAAACAAACCACAGAGCTTTATATTGCGCCGGCGTTGGTGATGCTGCCTGAAGCATCTTCTACCTGTTGACTTTAACTCACTGCTTTAACAGTGTGACTTATCCTGATGTCTCCAGTTTTTCCCTCTGGTGCAGGAAATTTAAATGAACATCCAGTTGCTAAGTTTTAGTCCGTGAGGCAGACACCCTGTCTACTTTTAAGGCTAGGCTTAAAACTTTCCTTTTTGATAAAGCTTCTAGTTAGAGTGGCTCANGAGGTTTCTTCCTGTTCAAAGGGAGTTTTTCCTCTCCACTGTCGCTACAAGCATGCTTAGTGTGAGGGATTGCCTTTAAGTTAATGAGACGATGCAATTAATTAGTTTTCCTTAGATAGAAAACTTTGAATCAATCTGACTGGATGATCTGGTGAACTGGAAAGTGACCTGAGATGACTTGTGATGTGAATTGGAGCTATAGAAATAAACTGAATAGAATTAAGTGTTTAAAACCTTGAAGCTCTGTTCTGCAGTGGGAATAAATCAGAGCTGGTCCCTGAGAATGAACCCCCTCCATCAGGCCTGCAGGCTGGGATTAAACCCTATAAATGTCTTTTTTTTTTCCATGTTGCCTGTGATAAGAATAGCTCTGGACTCGGTGAGCCACAGATGCCTTTTCACGGAGTTCAGTGTGGATTTTCTGCGGTCGGCGCGACAAGCTGGACTTCATAAATCAGACGATGCATGTTGTTGGTTTTCCTTTCAAGGTACAGCGACAGGAGAGGGGGGGGGGCTTCTGTCGCGAGCGGTCGCGGCACCCAAACCGCTGGCTGCACAAACACTGAGCGCCTGGCTGACAACGTGCGCCTGTGCGCAACCTTTGCGCCGCAAAAGAGCCCATCTGAGCGGCTCTTTGCGCTCAGATGACCCGGTTTAAATATAGAATTAATATAAATATATACGGAAGAGGATTAGGGCCCCTAAAAAAAAAAAAAAAAAAAAAAAATTAACTGATCATTAAAGATTATTTCAGTTTATTAGAGGGGAAAAAATCTGAATTCTGACGTCATTTTTTTTCTTAAATGATTTTGTCTTGAATTGAGGAGGAAAGTTTACATTTTAAATAAGAAAAGTAATTACATTTTCTAATTATCTTATTTTAAGAATAAACATGCTTATCCCATTGGAAGATCATCTTATTTACCTACTAAAATGCAGGGTTAATACACTTGATTCTGGGAGTTTTTACTTATTTCTTGATTGTTTTTGCAGTGCATGAAAGCTTCCTCTTTTTACACACTGCAAAAACGATATAGAAATAAGTAAAACAAAAAATTAATACAATCATTTTTGGCATTTAATTAATCATATTTAGTTATTTTAACACAACTGTTTCATGTTAGCAGGTTAGGACATAAAACAGTGGAAAAAAATCGAAATCTAGATAAGTCATTTTTCCTAAATATGTGCATTTGTTCTTGGATTGAGGAGATAACAGATATTTTGCCAATGGAAAAAGACAGTTTACATTTAAAATAAGAAAACACACTTGCATTGTCTTATTTTAAGTGCATTTTATCTAATTTTCTTATTTTAAGAGTAAAAATACTCATTCCATTGGCAGATCATCTTATTTACTGCTCACATTAAGGGTAAATACACTAAATATTTTTTTTTACTTATTTCTAGATCGTTTTTCCAGTGCACATTTGTAACGTAAATGCAAAAGCGGTTGCATTAATTTTTCAATGTATTTTCCCTTAATTTGAGCAGGTAAATAAGACGATCTGTCAATGAAATGAAGATTTTTTTTACTCTTAAAATAATATATTTAGATATTATGCACTTAAAATAAGAAAATAAATTGTTTTTTCATATTTTAAATGGAGATTGTCTCTTTCAATTTGCAAAGTGTCTCACTCAAGTCCTCAATTCAAGAAAAAATGCACTTATTTAAAGAAAAAATTACTTATTTAAAGAAAAATTACTTATTTAAAGAAAAAAAATGCACTTATTTAAGGAAAACATTACTTTTTTAAAGAAAAAATGCACTTATTTAAAGAAAAAATGCACTTATTTAAAGAAAAGACGCACTTATTTAAAGAAAAAATGCACTTATTTAAAGAAAAGACGCACTTATTTAAAGAAAAAATTACTTATTTAAAGAAAAATTACTTATTTAAAGAAAAAAATAAATGCACTTATTTAAAGAAAAAATTCCTTATTTAGATCAAGTTTTTTTTTTAAGAGAACAGGCGCGTCTGTGTGCAGCACAGGAGCGCCCAGGAAAAGCGGATAAAAAAACTAAAATATGGTGGCTTTAAAAAAAAAAAAAAAAATCCGCATAATTAAGGCTTCGGCACAAGTAAAGAGCTATTTTCACACATGAGTGCTGCGAAAACAAACCGAAAAGTCACAGGGAATAGTAAAAGACAAACAGGAGGCTGTCTCCTGCGGCTTGGAGCCCATAAATTGTGAGCAGGTCTGCGCCCTGCGCGCGCACGCACGCACAGGCGCGTGTAAATGCTTTCCACGCATCAATGAAACACAGACCCGACTTAAAAACAAGAGAAAG